CTGTCAGCTCTTTGGAGCAAAAATAGATGATGAGTCGGCCTGTCTAATTCAGGGGCTCTATTTGAGCCTAAGTTTCATTAAACTATTAAATTTTTTTTAAAAAGTTCAGAAAAATTTAGAAACTATTGTGACATCTACATTAATAAATATATCTAATTAGTGTCTTTTAATTTATAAAATCCAAAACCAAATTTATAATTAATTTTATTAAAAATACATGCAAATGTGTGTAATATATTCTAGAAATAGTTTCATGGTGCATGAATATTTACAAAAAAATTTTCTTGTCAATAAGTGATAATACATCGGGGAGGTTTTGTGTAAGAAGTTGATACATAGTTTAATACAATTTCAATGTTTGTACAGATTTTTCTTTTTTTTTTTTAATTATTCATTTATTATATTACAGTATTAAAAGTTACGTTAATTAAAATACTCTTAGCCCTAATTGCACATAAAATAGAGAAATCTATCATTTACAATTAACTTCCAAATAATAAAAATACTTTTCTAATTTTCGGAGTCAAGCTACCTCGAAAAGCCGGAGTTGGAGTCAAATTATCGACACTCCATCTCTGGTAACTATGAGAAAAAAACGTTAAATTTTTAATGACTAACATAGTTACCAGAGATGGAGAGTCGATAATTCGACTCCAACTCCGACTTTTCGAGGTAGCTTGACTCAATTTAAAATTCTTTGAGTCGCTTTCACATCGTAAATTCTTTCAGTCGCTTTCACATTGAGAAAAAAACGTTAAATTTTTAATGACTAACAATGTGAAAGCGACTCAAAGAATTTTAAATTGAATGATTGATTGTAAATTTCTATAGGTCATTTATTAATTCATTTGTTTTGTGTCTTAACAATTGAATTAATCCGTTGGAGTAAATTAAATTTTTGTAAAATTTAAAAACAAAAAGGGCTGACTTTAAAGAAGATATTTCTTTAAAAATATGATTTATGAAAAATGTGAATCAACAATCTTTAATTAAAAACAATATAATTTTCAAAATAACCTAATCGGTAGTTATCCATTTTTTTAAAAAAACTAAGTTTAATGCTTGTTGAAATTCGATATAAATTAAGTTTTATACTGAACGTGGAAATTTAATTATTTGTTTTTTAATGAATTGTAAAAATATCAATTTAAACATTTTTCTTCAAACAATATTTGTGCATATATAAATTAAAAATATCAAAATAAACCAATATATTTAATTATTACTCACAGCAAACTTGGTAAACCAGTCGCAAAACATCGTAAACTGTAGGAACTTTACCACCATCAGAAAAACTTAAAACTAATACTGTGAATATCCACAAAATAAATATCGTTCTCGCCATGACTGTTTGTTTTTTTAACGTTTTAAATTGAATAAATGATTTAATCTATTTTTATTTAGCTTTGTTTGTGTATTAAATGACACAACAAGAGAGAACAGCAATTCACGAACGCAGATCGTGGATGAAGATTCGTTTTGAATTAAACCGGCCGCCGACACGTTTTTTACTTTATAAGAGATGCGAATTGTCAACAAACGATTGCCTCATTTTGTGATTTATCGCTGTATTTGGCAATATCTTGAAATCTTTTGAATGGAATTCTTTTTATCGTTATCTTAACGTAAGGAAAAGATAGAGTAATATTTACGTTATGTTTTTGAGATGTATTTTTTATGTAATGAAGAAGAGGTTTAGAAATGTGTACATTCTTTGGTTATCTTAAAATAAATGGCAATACACAAGTCTCAAAAAAACATCACGAGACTTAAAAATAGCTGCACGTGTTCGAATTTGACCTACTTGAATTTATCAATTATTTCACGTGATTTTTATACGCCTAAACAAATAAAAAATGAACCTCTCTGCATGATTAACTATGATTATCAATAATATGACGGAATTTCATATAAGGCCGAAATGGCTAATTTCATACTACAAAAATCTAATGATGTTTTCCATTCTTGTCAATACATTTTTATTGGCTGGAAAATCACATGGTGGGATCCAGTTTTCCCACATTAATTTTCATATTGGTTTGGTTGTCACCAGCATTAAATTGATATAAGTCATAAAAATATTCTTTTCCTATAAATATTTTTGTTTCCCCAATTTAAAGGTTAAAAACAAAAGCAGAGCTATAAGCGATAAGCAGAGAGCTCGACGCACTTAACTATATTCAATACTCGAAGATTAAAATTACTGTACTGTTATTATTACTCTTTTGACTACTCTTTTACTGTTACTTACTCTTTTGACTGTTATTATTATTCTTTTGACTTCTTTACTATTTTGTTTACTTTCGAAATTAAGAGTTTAGGACGATTGTTTTTATTATTATTATTATTAGAATAATGTAATTCTACGTTACATTTTAAGATAACGTTATTTAAATCGGTGTCGAATCTTATTAATCGTCTTGCAATTATTATTTTTAGTGCAAATTACATTAATATACGATGATGAATAACGGTTAAAGAGATTCGTTTAATGATTTACAGCTTAATTTTCAGCTTCATGCACAAAGTGATGAATGCAAAAATTGTATTTAAAATACATCCGTCCGTTTGTTAAGCAAAAACAATTACAGTTGTGAACTTAGCAAATTTGTTATAACAATATACTTTTTCCCCTCTGCAGAGGATCAAAATTGTGATGTCTTCGTGATCATCCTCAGGGATGTTTCCCAAACCGTCGCCAATAGCCCATTGTGCAGCTCTAGTACGACGTAAATGAACTACAACAACAATATACTTTTAATTTTCAATGTTATTTCAAAAAATGATTACTTAGAAAAATTGCTTATGCTCACTTCTAGATGTCCCGCAGTGGACTGATCGTAAAGACACGGTTCCCAGCAGATCACCGAAGTCAAGCATCATTGGATGCGGTTAGTGTGCGGGTGGGTGACCACTTGGATCAGTCTGCGTAGGGACCGAAGGTGTGCGGTATTATTCCTCATTAAACTGTTCTACCTTAAAGTGCTAGACTTCGAGTGCAGGTCGTCGGGCTACCGAAGCGGGGTTGCCACCCCCGCTGCAGAGTATCAAAATTGTGATGGCATGCCTTCGAATCATCCTCAGGGATGTTTTCCAGACCGTCGCCTATAGCCCATTGTAACATTGCAAGGTATGGCTTATAAGCCTAGGTAAGTTGAAGAAATAAGCACGAAGATACATCCAGGGTAACGGCGGGCATTGTTCATTTGCAGTCTAACGCTAATCTTCTACCCTAAACATCAGGAAAACTATTTTTTAGAAACACATTTTATGTATTTATTCTTAAAATAAGAACTTTTAGATTAATTGTAATTATAATTACATGTAATCATGATTATGAGTAATCATATTTTTTGATTACTTGTAATCATGATTACAAGTACTTGATTAAAGTAATTGGTTATGTAATCACGATTTCAGTTGTAATGAAAATTTGTAATAATGATTACAAGTAATCGATTACTGTAATTAGAAAATGAAACCAATTACATTTTTTCCCTACTCTGATGTAATCAAAAATTATGATTATTTGTAATCGCAATAATCTGCAATCGTGATTACAAGTAATATTGATTACATAGCAGTAATTATATGTTATCAATTACAGTTGTAATCGACGCCCAACTCTGACATTAGTCCATAGGTGAGGCAACGAATACAATTAATATTTTTGTAAAAATTATATGAAAAATTTTTTTTTTCATATGTTAACATAAATTTATCACAACTAAAATTTTTTTATCAAAGATATCTTTCTTTTTCTTTTGAAATTTAGAATTTTATTTCAATTAAGAATAAGGAAAAAAAAGACCATGAAAATCTTACATGATGCTGTTTTTTTTAGTGCTAAACAAATGCTTCACCGTAATTTGATTTATAGCATATTTTTGATTAAAAAAATTATCAATTGCATAGTCACACAACTATTACAGATATACTGAGAATAGAAACTTAAATATTTTTGAATATAAAACATAACTATAAAAGTTAATGAAAAGATAATAAAACAGAACAATAAAAGTTAAAATTTGTTTGTCAACTAAGTTGAATTTTGTACCTATATGATGTGAAAAACTACTTAAATTACTCACAATAGGTTAATAAATTTATGTAATATATCAATGAAAAATAAATTTATTTAAAAATATTAGAGCAATAAAAATAAGTTTGTGAACAAAGTTGAATTTTGTACACAATGTGAAAAACTACTCACATTACACACAGTAATTTAAAAGTAAAATAAATTTATTTAAAAACATGCAACAAAAAATTGATTTTACTTGCAAAATTACATTAAAAAACATTCTTTTTATGTATAGAACGAAAAAAATTTGCCATAAAATTTTGAAAAACATCTAAAAGCACGTTTATAAAATTTTTTAAAGAAATTATATTCTGTATTGTTTTTGTTTTCAAAATAAAATGCATAATTTAAATAAATAAATTAAATGAAAATATTTTTGATAATATTCTACTTCTAAATAATTTAATGTTAAATTAATTAGTAAAATATCATATTCATTGCATTTTATCAAATAAATCATTTTCTCTGCATTTAAGTCTTCACAATTATTTCAATTCTTATGTTAAATTGTTAAATATGAAGTAGCAAGCGAAAAAGCAGCCAAATTATAAAATTTAATTTAAACTTTTTTAACATGTTTCTCAATTTTTAATTTTTATGTTTAAAAAGGTATTTTATATAATTTAACTTAAATGTGAAGTTATATTCCAATTTTCACGTTTAAATTTAAGTATTAGTAAATTTAAATATTTTGTCACAAAATCAAATTTAATTATTAAAAAAAAACTGGATTGTTACTCCTGAATTTTTAAAAAAAATAATTCTCTTCTTACACTTCAAAAATAGTGATTTAGAGATTATGTATCAAAAATAATGATTTAGAACATATTATACTTATAAACAGATTATACCATCATTTAAACATTATGTGAATAAATTTACAAAAATAAAGTTAGTCAGTAATATGAACAGAACATATAGCATAAAATTCATTTATAGAGATAAACTCCAAGAATTAACAAGAGAATCAGGTTTTTCACAAGTATGAACAAGAAAATGCTCAGTCAGACAATTTCTATATGAAAAACTCTTATTACATATACTACAAGAATAAGGTTTCTCACCAGTGTGAACAAGATTGTGTCTAGTCAGATGACCTCTTTGTGAAAAACTCTTATTACATATACTACATGAAAAAGGTTTCTTGCCAGTATGAACGCTATTGTGTATAGTCAGATCACTCCTGCACGAAAAACTCTTATTGCATACACTACAGGTGAGAGGTTACTCACCAGCGTGAACACAATTGTGTAGAGTCATATAACTTCTGCTTGAAAAACTCTTATTACATACTAGCCGCCTAAGGCGGCCAGCTGTCCGCCACGCTGAAGGTTTTCACAAATAAAGTTTTTTAAAACATAGCAGGAAATCTGAAGATTAGTGGACAATTAAAGTGTTCCTGTCCTGCAATTTTGTCTTCATATCCAGTTCTGCTGCAGATGTGTTATAGCTCTTGAGGATGTTTGAAATTATATAGCTACAACGCTTAAGAAAAAAAAAACTAAAATGCTAAATACATGAAAAGAACACGAAAACGAATAAATTTTTTATGGTATCAATTTCTATTTCTATATAATTTTTTATGGTATCAAATTCTATTTCTATATCTGTTACGTCAAGCACTCAGGTATTATAATTTGATCTAGTTGTGCTTGTATAATTTTGATCTAGTTGCGCTTTCTACGTCATTTTGTTAACATCGTTTGGTTTGTTATTTAACATCGTTTGGTTTGTTATTTCTAAGTTAACTTTCAAAAAATTGGCTGGCATCAGCATTTTTATTCTTTAAGTTGTTTATTTTTTCTTTTGGAATTCGTTCCTTTTTAGCGAAATGTTTTTCAACCTAATCGAATTCTTTGCCGACTGTTCTCTGTATATATAAAGAAAATAAAGTAAATATTTTTAAAGTGTTGTGAAAAGAATTTTTAGTTGTACAAAGTACTACAATATCGCTATAAAAATTATCGTCTTCGCTTAAGAAAAAAAAAAAAGAGCGTGGAAAGAAGAAGAAAAACTTATTATAACAATTATGAACAGCGACAAATATATCAAAGCGAAGCGTTCTATTTACGTATCGAATATGTTGCCACATTTTTAATACAAAAGTTAAACTTTTCTCCACTTTAATAAATGTAAACTAATGCGAACTTTACAATTAAATTATTAATTCCTTCGTATATTATTGGTTTAAGTTGTCGAAAATTAATATTTCAATTGTAAGGTTCGCATTAGCATACATTTATAAGAGTGGGGAAAAGTATATGCATTTTTTAATAGTTTTTTGAATATGGCTCTTTGAAGACGAAAAAGCAGACGAAAAGCATAGACTTACAAAATGACTGATAACTAAATAACTAATCAAAATTTTTGAAAAAGAAAAAAAATACTTCTTCATTATGTCAAAACACAATTATGGGCCGAGTTTCGTGCCCGGGCGAGGCTTCTGGGGCGATATATTGTGATTACAGACACACACACACACAGCCGCTTTTATTATTATGTATAGATACTACAGGAAAAAAGTTTCTCTCCAGTGTGAACACGATTGTGTTTATTCATATTACTACTGCGTGAAAAACTCTTATTACATACACTACAGGAATAAGGCTTCTCACCAGTGTGAATACGATAGTGTATAGTCAGATGACCTCTTTGTGAAAAACTCTTATTACATATACTACAGGAAAAAAGTTTCTCACCAGTGTGAACACGATTGTGTTTCTTCATATTATAACTTTGAGAAAAACTCTTATTACATATACTACAGGAATAAGGTTTCTCACCAGTGTGAATACGATAATGTATAGTTAGATGACCTCTTTGTGAAAAACTCCTATTACATATACTACAAGAATAAGGTTTCTCTTCCGTATGAACACGACTGTGTCTAGTCAGAACACTTCTTCGTGAAAAACTTATGTTACATATACTACAAGAATAAGGTTTCTCTTCCGTATGAATATGACTGTGTATAGTCAGATGACCTCTTCGTGAAAAACTCTTATTACATATACTACAGAAAAAAGGTTTCTCACCAGTGTGAACGCTATTGTGCACAGTCAGATGACTTCTTCTCAAAAAACTCTTATTACATATATTACAGGAAAAAGGTTTCTCACCAGTGTGAATACGATAATGTATAGTCAGATGACCTATTTGTGAAAAACTCTTATTACATACATTACAGGAAAAAGGTTTCTCACCCGTATGAACACGACTGTGATCAGTTAGATGACTTCTCTTTGAAAAACGTTTATGACATATATTACAGAAAAAAGGTTTCTCACCCATTTGAGCACGATAGTGTTTAGTCCTGTCACTTCTATGGGAAAAACTGTTACTGCATATACTACAAGAAATAGGCTTCACACCAGTATGAACATGACTGTATTCAGTCACATTACTTCTTCGTGAAAAACTCTTATTACGTATATTAAAAGAGTCAAATTATTAACCAGTATAAGTCTGACTGGTGGTCATTTAGATTACTTTTCTATGAAAACTCATATTTCATACGTAGCACACCTTTCACATAAACATTATGAAGAGATTTTCTGAAACTGTTTGTAAATTTAGACACTTTAACACAAACTGCCGAAATAACTTCTTAAGTTTTAAATGCATAGTAGTCATGAGTACAAGGGAGCTCTAAATAATATTTGCAATGATAATGCCTGTTATTATAGACTTATAATGAAGATTTCCTAATGAATGACGATAATTGTGCCATACGAACAAGATCTGTAACAGATAAACAGTTTATAGAAATTAAGCTTTCACAGTATTTTAAAACACTTTTTGCCATTTATTGCTTTGAAGTATTTTCCTTCATACATTGCCAATGTCTTTTCAAACAAACATTGTGTTAGTATCTTAGCGCAAACAATCTAAAATCAATGAATATATTTCCCACATATTAAAGCAAGAATTTCTATTTAACATGATAAGTGATATACAAATTTAGAGCACACTTTTCCATATTCGGATAACAGATTTCATAACTCATCAACATCTATACTTGATTGATTGTTTAGATTGAAGATGATGATCACTCTCGGGCATTTTTGGAGCTCTTTGCTTGGTTGTGCTTATAGCTCGCTTATTGTAGATTGAAAGATGGGATGAAGCTTAGGGCACGTTCCAATATTCGCACCAGTGTCACCGGTTACACTGGTTTGCCGCACCGACCGTTCCAATATTAAAACCAGTTACACCGGTGCACTGCACCGATCGTTCCAATATTCAAACCAGTGTCACCAGTTACGTTGGACTGATCGCTGTGGACTGATCGTTAAGACACGGTTCCCAGCAGATCAAAAAGGAATTCTTAGTTTGGCTTGAGGATTTACCTTTATTATCATCAGTAAGAATTCCTCGCCAGCATGTTTTTGCTGACGCTTCAAAATATTCGTACGCAACTGCCATTTTTCTTAGAAACGAAGGGGAAGGAGAACAACGAATTTCTTTAGTGAGAACTGGATTCAAATTTATTGCTGCTGGTACTAAGAAAGAAAAGAAGACTGAAGCTGATATATTTATACCAACAGCAAATGAGTTATTTTCTGGAAGTAAAAGCTCGAGGACTGTGGTAGATAGAAGGTGTGTATTTTGCGACAAAAACCACGAGAGTAAAGATTGTTTTACGGCAGCCAAATTGGCTTACCATCAGAAGCAAGAACTAATTAAGAATAAGAAAGCTTGCTTTATATGTCTTAAGTTTGGACATAAAGCAAAATATTGCAAATCAAGTGTTAAATGTCTAATTTGTGCTAAGAGACATTGGTCGATCATGTGTGCAGAATTATCGCCAAACAAGCACGAAGTAAAAGATGAAAAAGTAATTGATTCGAGTGAATGCCAAAATGTAATACTTGCGAATTCTTGCTGTTCTGGAGAGATATTCCTTCAAACTTTAATGGTAAATATTGAAAGTAAAGAAGGAAAACGTGCTATAAGAGCATTAATTGACACTGGCTCTCAACGCTC